TCAATCAAACACGTAGTTCTCGTGGATTCGACACTCTATTAACTACTTTATTACTTGTTCACGATCCTGTTCACTTACGGAAAATCAAACGATCACCTATCATCGAAGAAGAGTTGAAATTTTATTGTCGTGATTTGGCTGCCATCAATAGTTACTTAGATTCTTTTCTTTATCCATTGTTCAATTGATTTTTTCATCTTTTTATTGTTTAATTCTACAATTACGAGTGTCTAAATAATTTATTGTTAAGATGAACAAAATAGCTTAGGTTTATGTTAATTTAATTCAAAAGATTTCAGCACTTTTGATTGTGGGTTATTTATTGTGTGCTTAATGACATTCACTTGCTTAATCACCAATTGCTTGGTTCAAGGACAAATTGAGATCTGGAGGAAATATATTTTTCTAGCTCACACAATAAGTAACATAGGTTTTGATAAGAGATAGTGAGATACTTTTAAAGTTTATGCAACCATAATTGAATTCTTAAATTTTTATACATTTATGTGTCTACGAATTTAATTAGGAATATAGTAATTTCAAGCATGCGATAGGGTTAGTTTTACTGAAAACAAATCACCAACTAAAATTGATTAATTCGTTTGTTAACACGTGAAAAAGGGTTTGATTGATGTTGGATCAGATGAATGTTAAATAACTAATGTGAAATCGCATTCTTAACTATTTAATTCCAAAAGTTTTCCAGAAGTCTTCAAACATAGATTAGTTTAGTATAGTTTTAGTTAAAAATTCAATTCTTGAATTGTTCATTGAATACTACTTTAATTTAGATTGAAGCTAGGGTTAGAATAAAAATTGGCATTAGATAGATAGTCTATGTGGGTACGACATTCAAACTTATAATTCATTATTATTACTTATCACAATTCGTACACTTGTGAAATTTAGCAAACTAGAAAGCGCTTAGGACCATATTTTCAACTAGAAACTTCACAAAACTTAGCACTTAGATCGTGGATAATGATCTCCTTTCATCCTGATTGAGATATGGACATAGGAGTACAACAAAATCCAGATTTTGGAGTATGAAAAACTAAGGTGATTCAACTCTGAAGATTTTGAAAATTTATTATTTTCAAGTATGAATTTTTTTAATAGATACTCATATTCAACCATATTGCGTGTTCTTAAGGGGTGATGTAGTGCTGAAAATTCGTGGAATTGAGCAACATTCAGTGTTTTCATCATAATGTTCTCTAGAAAACTCCTATTCATGCATGGAAACTAGATTCATTTCTTTCCAACAAGTTATTATTCATGGTTAGATTCTAGGTAAATTGGGAGCTATGAAGGATCAAAGTGACGGCTTGGGACTGGGAGATTACATTTGGAAGTTGAAGAGCTTCTATTTTTTAGTTTTCTGCATTTATTTATACATTCATATATTTAGATGCATTATGTTATTATAAAATTACCTTGTATGATGAGAAGAAAGGGCAGACTTGAATAATAATCATTTTAATTTGATAATTGAATTGGAGAATAAAAGTTATCTCTCTCTCTTTAATTCCCAACTTTGTGAAGTCCAATTTGGCATATCTTTAAATCTTTCATTTCCCACTATTTTCCTTCCCTCATAATTTGGTATCGGAGCTTGCATTACGCTCTTGGCCTTTGTTTCCTTTTCTCATGATAGCAAGAAGAGGAATAGGTGGACGTGGTAGAGGTAAAATGGAAGATTTGGGGAATGAACGAGATGTTGAAATTCAGGCACTTGGAAGACAAGTTCAGGAGTTGATCTTGCGTCTTGAGCATCAGGAAACAAGGAGTGAACTAGGTCCAGCCATGGTTATTCCAGTGATGACCCAGAACTTGTGAACCTTTTGCTACTAAGCAAACTAAAATTTTGTTTGAGAAGCTTACACAATCGTCGAAAACTATTAAGATTGATATGTCGGTGTTTCATGGCCGTCTACAACCAGAAGAGTTTCTAGATTGACTTAGTGCTATGGACAAGTTCGAGTACAGAAAATCCCTTAAAATTAGAAAGTAAATCTTGTTGCAGATTATGCATTTGCTTGGTGGGATAAAATACAAGAGATGAGAATACGAAATGGAAAGTCTAAGATTGCATCTTGGGAAAAGATGAAGGCAAAATTACGTGAGAAATTCCTCCCTTTGAATTTTGCTAAAAGTATTTTTATGCAATTTAATACTCTGCAACAAGATAACAAAAGTGTGATTAACTATACAAAAGATTTTTACAAGCGCTAATGGCTAGAAGCAGCATTCAAGAATTAGAAGACCAGCTTGTTGCTAGATATGTCTATGCGTTAAAACTAACCATCAGAGATGAGATAAATATGCAGCAACTATGGAGGCTAAATGATGCTTATAAATTAGCTTTGAAAGTTGAATCAAAATTGACAAGGCATGGAGCAAAGAAGTTTGCTGATGTTCAAGGCTTCTATTCATCAAAAGTTGAATCGTCTAGCAATAGTGCTCCTAAGAAAGGAGGTCGTAAAGAATGGATCAATTTAGGTCCTAATAAAAATAAATCAAACACTTGTTTCAAGTGTGGCCTATCAGGTCATTACATGGATGAGTGTCCAAAGCAGAGAAGTTATGCTCGTGCGGGAATTATAAATGGAGAAGATGGAGAACAACAATTTGAAGATGCTGGTCCACAATATGATGATGATGGTGATCATGAAAGTGAGGAGATTGAGCATGAAAATGGAGAATGATTGGTAATTCAAAGAGTACTTGTAGCCCCTAAGCAAGACAACGATCAAAGTTGGCTACGCCGCAACATCTTTTGAACGAGATGTAAATCACATGGTAAGGTATGTTCACTAGTCATTTATGGAGACAACTTTGAGAACTTTGTTTCTCAAGGGATGGTGGAAATTGGAAAATCTCAAGCTCACGGTGGAGCCACATCCTCAACCATGTTCTGTCTCATGGATAAAGATGGACAATGAGGTAAAAATTGATAAGAAATGCCTTGTTTCTTTCTATACTTGTAAAAATTATCAAGATGAAGTTTGGTGTGATGTAACTCCTATGGATGTTGGACACGTACTATTGGGTAGACCATGGCAATATAATAAGAGTGCTATTCACGATGGAAGAAAAAACACTTATACATTTGTTGTTGGGAAAACTGAAATCGTTCTTTTGCCATGTAAAGATGTTTGAAATCCCAAATCTTCTACAAAAGAGGAGGGAAATGCATTACTTTGTCACAGCTTGAAAGGAGACTCAAATGGGTGGAATGATCTATGTTTTGGTGGCTAAAGAAGTGATGCACGCCCGAAGAGTTGCCTAATGGGCTTCCTCCTCAAATGGAAATTCAGAATCAAATTGATTTAAGGGAACAATACATATCTCAGCCCTTTAGGAAACACTATTTC